TTCTAAAGAGAAAGCTTCTCATAGAAAGGATGATACATCAGAAGTACTTTAATATCCATTAGTTAAGAAAAGACAAATACAAAGACAATTCGTATTTGAAGAATTGATTTTGGGAGATAAAGTTGAACCTGTCAAAACATGATCCACATTCAAGCAATCTAAGGAAACTCTTCTAGGATTGGTGTCTCTGATAGAACCAATATATTGTCAAGAGGCTCTTAAAGATAATGAATGGATTCTAGCAATGCAAGAGAGGTGAATAAGTTCTCCAGAAATGATGTTTGGGATCTAGTATCTAAGCCTAAAGGATCTTATGTGATTGGAACAAAGTGGATATTTAGAAATAAGTTAAATGAGAAAGGAGAAGTCATTAGAAACAAGGCATGACTAGTTGCACAAGGTTATAATCAACAAGAAGGTATTGACTAAAATGAAACCTTTTCCCTAGTCGCTAGGTTAGAATCTATTTGCCATCTAATTTCTTTTGATGTTCATAATCATATAACTTTATATCAAATGGATGTCAAAAGCGTGTTTCTAAATAGTTACATTTATGAAGAGGTATATGTAAATCAACTTCCTGGTTTTGAATGTATCAAGTTCACACAACATGTTTTTAAACTTTAAAATTCATTGTATGGTCTAAAACAAGCTCCCAGAGCATGGTATGAAAGACTCTTTTCTCTATCTGACAGCTTCTCAGAGAATCCTAAGGTATCTGAAGGGAACATCTAACCTTAGCTTTATGTATAAGAAAGCATCAGAATACAAGCTATAAGGTTTATGTGATGTAGACTAAGCCGTAGACAAAATAGAACATAAAAGCACTTCAGGAAACTGTCAGTCAACTATTGCACTATCAACTACTGAAGCCGAATATATTTCAGCATCACATTGTAGCACTCATGTGCTCTGGATGAAAAGTCAACTTGAACATTTCTAGATTTACTAAGGTAACATTCCTATATTATGTGATAACACAACTGCTATATGCTTAAGTAAGAATAATATTTTGCAGTCTAGAGAAAAACACATAGAAAACAAACATCATTTTATTAGATACTATGTTCAGAAAGGGATTCTTGTTTTAAAATTCATTAATATAGACCATCAATGAGATAATATTTTCATAAAACCCTTAGTTGAAGATAGATTTCAGTTCATTCTAAAGAATTTAAACATGAAGTTTTGTCCATAATGAAACGATTTTCTGTATCACGATGACAAACTTTTGATTTTTTTGTCTGCTTAATCGTGTTCCAATTAATCTGCCTCAAACCATCTTCAGTTATCTAATAGAGTATGTGAATATCTCCAGAGATTTGAACAAATCCTTCATCCCGTATGGGTTAGTCTTATCAGAAGTACTCTACAAAGAAAATATTGTGGAAATTGTTCGTCGAATTAAAGTTGGTCTTGATATTTCTTTGATGGACAAAAGGTGTGAAACCTTCGGAGATCAGATGTTCGGATAATCATCTCTCTTGTCTTCTTTCGGTGTTGCCTTTTGTTTTCTTGTTCCTTCATTTTCATTGTCATGGTTGTATCCTTTCCAATATTAATCTAATTTTCCTATTTTAAATATTGCTTCCTTTTCAGTTGGAATTAGAAAAATGAGCTACTTGTTTTTCTCACAACTGATTTTCTTAAATTAAAAAAAACATCTTTTTGATTATGACAAAAATGGGGAGAAATATACTGATGATTTCTATATATCCAATCCTCTAAATCACAATGCTTACATTCTAACAAAAATCAAATGCAATAATGTTTTAAGAATGTTGTTTGAGGTACACGCTGATAAGAAAATGAATATATTATTTAGAAGGCTCTGATAGAGAACTTCTAATATCTCATGGGTTCTAACAAATCAAGATCAGATATATAACTTCTATAGTTTAAAATATTATGAGAAATCAAGCTCTATTGAAAAGAATTTCTGATTAAGCCAATCTCTGTTAAGCATTAAAGAGAATATTATGCTTTAACCAGGAATTAAGAAAGATAACAATGCTCAGATATCCCTTTCTCTTCTAAAGATGTTAGGTCTTTAACTATGGGGGAGCTTGTTTATCTCAAGGGGAGTTTTTTTAAACTTAATTTGATATATGTTTATGATATTATCTTGTCAAATTGTATCATCTAAATACATGGTTTTGTCATCACCAAAAAGGTTGATATTGTTAGAACAAGATTTGGTTCTACGTATAATCTCTGAGTTTTGATGATAACAATACATATATTTTATATGTAACAATTTTGGATTCTAATATTTCTTTAAGTGTGCATATAAAACATTTTAATTGATTCAGGATTGTTGTCTGAAGAATAATCAAAATTGTCTTTAACATGCTTCAGAAAGACTATTGCACCTGGTTCTGAAGAAAGATCATTAGTTCTAGTGAATGCTGAATGTTCACTAGAAACAGTATCCACATGTACTTCTCCAGATAAGTTATGGCTTCAGAAGTCACGAGTGTGTCAAAAAAAGGATATACTATGAAGATCATATATAAAGCTTTTTCTTCAGCAATCAGATATCAAGGTAATTTGCTTCTCATATAGGTTTTTTCTTCTAGCTCAGATATCAAGAAACTGTTTCTCAGATAAGCTGTTGTTATAAGTCTGAAGACTAGGTTCTGATTCTGAAGACTCTGATACTTTTGTGAACATCACAATGGAACATCTTCTAGATATATTATCATCAGAAATACTCCATCAGAAGATTAAAGAACAATCATGTGATCTCTTCTACATACTCTTCACTACTTCAGATAAGAAGTATCCCATAAGAAGAAAAGATCAGAATCTTGCACAAGAATATTATAGTACAATAGTACAAGACCTACTCCGCTATGGTAAAGGAAAGTCTGTATGATTGAAGATTTGTTGTGTTCTGTCTCCCATATTCTCACACTACTGTTGTAGCAGTTAGAAGATGAAATTGAAGTTTCGTACTATCTAACGGTCAATTTTCTCTTCCTATATAAAGAGTTGTCTACTTAATTGGAAATAAATGAATATATTAAAACAATTGAAGTATAAAAAACACTATGCAAAGAAAACAAAGAGAGAAAATATTCAAAACAAAACAAAACACAAAGAGTTGTTGCTTGGTTTTATAATAACTTTCATTCTATATAACACAAGAGTTCTTGCTCATTATTGTGTTATTTATCATTTTTGTATACACAAGATTTGTTTCTCATATTTGAGTGTAAACATTTTTTCTTCATTGTAGTGTTAAATATGTTTTTTAGAAGCACTCTTCTAAACACATTTTGATTAGAAATCTTTCTAGATTTGTTTCCTCAAGTGACTAATTGTAGTCAGAATTACATGAGAGGGCTAAGGTATTTTTCTAAACTCTTAGAAGTAGTTGTAATCTTTATAGATTATTGGATTAATTCCTTTTCTAAGGAAATATCACCTTGGTGGGTAGATAAGATTAGCCTTTTCTAAGATGAACTTGTCTAAACTGATTACAATATTTTTCCTTCTAGCTTATCTATCATTGTTAATTTGTGAGAAGCATTTCTAAAAGAAATAGTTTTTGAAAAACCAATTCAAACCCCTCATTTCTTGTGTTTTTCTCAACCTTTAAGTTCCTGTGCTGATTATATAAGAAGCTCAAGTGTGCAAATAGTGGAACTCTCAAGAGAAAAATCACGGGGACAAGACTAGACCAAATGGTTAGGTTTAACCTATATAAATCTCTTGAACACTCTCTATATCTTTATTTTCCTTTATTTATTTTCTTCATGTTTGATATATCTCTTCTTCTCCATCTTCTTTCTATTTTTCTGTTGTCTTATCTTTGTTTATTTATCAAATCAAATATAATTTCTTTAAAGACTAAAGTTTTTATAAATTATTTTCAAATTTTGAATAACATATTTCACCCCCTCTTTTGTTTGAAGTCACTTGGTCAACAAGGGGCATCAGAAGCCTAACTTCTGTTATAAGACTAATCATCCTAGAAGGTAGAAATGACTTCAAACAATTCACTAAATACACCTTCATTATTTAATGGAGAAGGGTACGCTTTGTGGAAAGAGAATATGTGAACATTCATATAGGGGATGGATTGTGGTATTTGGAAGGCCGTGAAAAATGGTTCTTTTGTTTCCGCACATCAAGTTAATGGTCTTATGGAAAACAAAGATCTACAAAAACTATAGAAGAAAAGGAAAATGTACATCAAAATTTGAAATATAAAACTATTATCACTACCACTCTTGGGATTTATGAGTTTTTGCGTGTTTCTCACTGCAAGACTGAAAAATAAATGTGAGACACCCTTCAAGTTACATGTTCCATTGATGAACCAAAAATGGAAAGGATTGTAGAAACTACAGTGGAGTGAAACTACCAAAGTGATTCAATGGTGTGACACCTTAGATGAGAGGTTGAAATTATGATCCCTCTGGAATAAAAAATGTTAATCTTGAATCAACGTGGATAATCTTCGGTACGGTAGACCAAAGAGAGGGTACGTGCATGGTTAGCACTCAACGCCCAAGTCAGTTTAGGGTCAAGATAGTTATAGTTAAAGTGTATATTATAGATTGTGTACCAAAAAAAACCTTATGAAGGTATTTATATCGTGAAAGCAATGAAGCAGGCATGATAAGTGGGCCTTATGTTACTGAACCTTTGGCCTATATAACACAATTACCCCCAAGACTCGTTGGGTACTCTAGTTTCCCTCATTTTCTTGGAGTCTTTTCCTCTTCAATAATAGAATTTTTCAAGGAGCAACCATCGTCACACATTCAAAACTTTAAAGCTTCAACGCTTCAATGCTTCAAAGCTTCAATGCTTCGATTTTCATCCTTCTTTTTAGCTTTACTACCTTTGACCTTTTATTTCAAGGTGCCTTCTCTTCACTTCAGATTTTTCATTCAAGCATTTATTGTACCTTTATTATGATGAGCGGTAGTTCTATTAACACCGGGAGTGATTCAGAGGGTAGTGCTTCTTCCTCTTTGAGAAGGAGAATGAAAACCGAATGGAATTACCTTCCCTCTACTATTAGTGAATTTGAATCAAAGATCATTTCTCTAATTGAGGATTATGAAACTGAAGGAGTGTTTAGAGACTCCTTTTATGGAAAACTGATGGGGCGAGGTCCTTATTATTGTATCTTGAATCAGTCTCGACAATCACTTTAAAGCTAATGAACTGACCTAAATAAGACTTTGGTTAGTTGAGTTACATAATGCCAATAGATATCGTTGGGTGGCCTCCAAAGTGGTTATACTCCTTCCATCTTGAACATTTTTTAGACTATAACCAATGCTACTATTATGGTCGGCAACCCCTCGGATATGTTCTCCCAGTAGACTTGGTGGGGAGGATATCCATATCTTATAAGGGCTTATCGGTTCCTCTGTATGAAAATATATTCACCAAGTTAGTGGTACACTTGCCCTTTCTAGTTTTGAGGTGGCCAGGTTGGACCACCTTAAAATTTCTCCCTTAAAACTTCATTTATAATATTGGGCTATGAAGGTGTTCCAATTCTGTACCGAGCATAAGTCTTGGAAACCTTCTCTATCTCTTTTCTTTGATCTATTATACGTGGCTTACAGCTCTCGGAATTATGCTCTTGATCATGGATTGGTCTTCCTTTCACTTGATACCTTGGTTTCAATATTTCACCACCGACTAGGGTAACCTTTTTGAGTGTTTCATGTTGGTGAAACCTTTTACTCCTGAGGCACACTCTTCCCTTTGTTCGTCTTCGACTCTGGTGGGATGAACTCGTTCATGTAAAAGTGGTTTTCTAAAGTACTGGTCTAAAGCTAATTTTCGCAGACCTATTTCTTCTTACCACATTAGGTTATGTCCTCTATCCTATAAAGAGGTGAAAATGAAAGAGAATTAATGTGATTGATATCAAGGACTAGGATATGAAGAAATAATTAGTTTTAGCAAAGTACTCCCTTCTCAAGAAAAGAAGAAGAGAATGAGAACCTGGAAATTTTTTTTTAACAAGTATAACTTATGTCTTGTAGTTAACATGGATCAGTTGCAGAAATTTCATGCCCTCGCCAAAGATCAGGATCTTACGACCGACTTATTAGACCGGGTGATGGAGGCTTCTGTTGCTATGACTATTCTTGATACGGTGGTCCAAACACCGGCTAGAGTTACTGCCCCGACCTTAATTGCAACTTTTCATACCCCAAATTTTACCTATTGAATTCTAGCAAATTTATTCCTTATTGTTATTAATTTCTAGTGTTATCATTTTCTTTATAAAAATTAAATTATTGTTGTCTAAATTCAAAATTGTTTATATATCATTGGGTTTAAATTTATAGACGGATGTAGTTTTGTCATAAGGGTTCATTTTTAATTGCCCATTAAATTCTAAATCCCGTGTTTGAAAATGAGAAGGGGCGTATATCCATTTATTCCTTTAAGGAGTGTAACAGTTGAGAGGTACATGATTCGGGATAGGGGTATATTGTCAGTTGGCTTGACAATGTGTATGCTTATTGGGCCTGGTTAATAATATTATGATGTGTGGCTTATTATTTCATTTTTTATCATATCGGCCCATTTAGAATTTAGAGGCCCATAACTAATTCATTTCATATGGCATAGTTGACTAGAGTCAACATTAATACCCAAAATTGCTTTATTTATTATATTAATATTTTTATTACGTTAGTATTATTAATATTATATCATTATTATTACTATTTTTATGTCAATTTTATTAGTTTATTATAATGTGTTGACCAATTCAAACTGCCAGGGTAAAGAAACCCTAGATCCAGCAACGACACTGTTTCTCTTCTTCCCTAAGCAAACTCGAAGCCCAAATCCAGAAATCTATTTTGAATCAAATTGGATAAAAATAAAATATTACAAATTTCTTTATTGATTGATTAAATTCGTCCGTACGAATATGTCTAAATACATAATCAAATCTTTATTCTTTACATAACAAAATCGTCTGAATTAATTACAATAAAATCAAATCAATTACAACCTAATCCAATCCTCAATTCCCTAATTACAAGTTGTAACGACAAATCAAATACTTTCCTAATTTGTTCTAATATCTAAACTATATAAAGAACCCTAAGACTAATTGAAAAGGGGGAAGAAATTTTGGAGGAGAGGAGATATAATAGAAAAAGAAAAGAAGCAGCAGTGGCTGATCAACCTTCTTCTTGAGATATAGGTTCAACTTCTGAAACCCTAGATCTGTGTTTCTCCAAGCTATCGCCACCATCATGTTACTATCATTCTTCATACCTGCAAAACAGAGAGGAGAAGAAAGAGATTAGAGAAGCGAACTAGAAAGTCAGAAGAGAAATTGATACGACAAGATTCACTGCATCAGACGGTAAGCCTAACACTTAGCTTGGTTAGAAAAATTTGTTGCTGATTGATTGTTGTTTTCTAGATTTCGATTAAAATAAGGGTTTTTTGGGCTTTGTTCTAGGGTTAGTGTCAGGGTTAGGTTTCTTAGGTTTTAAGGTTAGGGTTCTTAGGGTTTATACTAATATGGGTTTGGGTTCATCATCGTTGAAGGTTTCTGGGTTTTAGGGTTAGGATTCTTCACGAACCCTTAGGGTTCATATGAACCCAGATAGTGGTTTGTTTGAAGATGGTGGCGTCTTGGAGCAACCGCTGGCGGGAGAGATTTATGCTTGTTGGCGCCCAAGGTGGAGGCAATTTCTGGTCATCGGGTTTCTAGAGAGAGGGCATGGCCTCTCTCTCTAAAAAACAACATAGGATTTTGTTTGTTGTAGAGAAAGGGAGAGAAGATAAAAAATGGGATTTCAGCCCATAAACCTATATTTATAAACACCTTTGTTCCCATGCGCTACTCTTACCGTGCACCTTCATCCCTTGCCCTTGGATTATCATCAGACGTTCCTCAAACGTGCTCCCACCATAATGCCTAACACTCACCCACACTCTATTCACCAGGCCTCTAACAAATTCTATTTTGGGCCCGGTCCTTAATTTCTGCACCCCTCAAATTACTTTCCCAATGTAAAACAACACGCCTTACTATTCACACCCCCAACCTTTTACTAACTAACTAAAAATACACCCCTTGCATTTAATAAATAAAATTAATTCTTTTTTTTATTATTATTTTTCTATCTTTTATCTTTTATATTTATAATAAATTCTAAATTTACTTATTTTGTTCAAATTATTTTACTAACTCATTCAATATTTTAATTGCATTAAAAATTATTTTTTGCTCATGCATTAAAATTTATTTTTCTTATATTTTAAATATGTTTGAAAATATCTAACCAATCAAACTACTGGCAATTTTCACTAACCTAATTCAAACCTTATACATTTTCAAAAAGGATTATGGGGATATTTTTCATTAACTGTGAACTTCTTCTAACAACTCCGCGATTTACAATCCCAGACTTGGTTAAAGGATTAATACGAGTTATTACCATAATCCATAAAAAACACCAACCAACAACTGTTAACAACAAACTGGAACTATGATTCCTCATAAGAGGATACGTAGGCATACGACTAAAATCGTGGCGAGTTCCCCTAACTAAAAGATTAAAACCCTATTTCCTAAACTGTAAATCTAAAGCCTAGTATCCTTTTGAACAAGGTAGATGAGGTGTTCCTAACACCTTCCCTTCATCTAAAAACGAGTCAACAACTTAGAATCTCTGACCAATTTATGGTTAACTATTATATTCCCTTCCCTAGGATAAAACTTAATGGTGGAGACTCTCATTTTAAAACTATTTATAACAACTGGTGACTCAGCTGGGGACTCAACCCTAGAGTTTAGAAGCCTTCCTCTTAGGTTTAGGGTTTTTTGTTTGGATTTTTGGTGTTTTCAATATTTTATTTATTTATTTATTTATTTATTTATTATTATATTATTTTTTTAGGATTTGTTGGCAGGATTTTATTTTTGTTTTAAAAAAAATATTTTCAAAAAATCCTTAGAAAGAAGGTTCGTCTATTGGCCAATGGGATACATCATCCCTACGATTTTTTATGACGACTTCACCTAGAGTCGGTGGAATTCCAAAAAAAAGTTATACGTCTCAAGAGATATCCTCTTGGGGGTACGACTTTGGAATAAAACCTATGACTTTTTGTATAACCCTTAAACAAAAATCTCATAGTGAGACCTTTCACGACCTTAGAGACAAAAGTTTCGATTTGCAAAGAGACTCCACTTTCGGGAGGCCATTGTGCCTTTACCTCTAGTGTTATCCATGATTCCCTTAAGGAAACCACCTTATGGGGAGGGTAGAATATCCGTAGGCCAACACTAGGAGCCTTCCAATTAGGGATACCTTTCATTAAATATCTTTGATATGCCACACCATCATGCATTCATACATCTTGCATATCACATATTCATTACCCTCCATTATTTTTTGTTTGTCTTATTAATAGGATTAAAAAAATAATCAAAGGTTTTTGGTAAAGTATCTTAAAAATGAATGTCAGAGGGAAACAACATGTCCGTTTTAACACTGTAAAGCCAGGTATGATGAAGATCAAGACCATCAAAGGGAAACTGTCTGAAATAGCTTTGAAGATCTTTACTCGCCGATATGGGGATACTATTGAGTTGACAAAAGTGGATGTACAATTGGATACTATTTCTGCCTTGGTTTAGTTCTACGATCCTCCATTGAGGTGTTTTACCTTTCAAGACTTCCAGCTAGCACCGTCTTTGGAAGAATTTGATAGATTTTTGAATTTTTCTAAGGGAAAAGCATATGTTGGAATTGGATAAACTATTGACATTAAGGACTTAGCAAATGGTTTAGGGATGCCGTATCCTGAATTTTCACTTAATTACAAGAAATAAGGTGATGTGCAAGGGGTTAAAAGACATTATTTGGAAGCTAAAGCCCTTTCTTTTGCCAATAACAAAGAATGAGAGTCTTGTGTTGACTGTTTAGGGTTACTTGTATTTGGTATAATTCTGTTTCCTTGGACTTTGGACTATGTTGACCCTGCAGCTATTAGTGTATTTTAGGGCGCAAAGGCTTTGAATACGGACCTAACTCCTGCTTTGCTTGCTGATATTGACTATGCTCTTCATACTTGTTACGAAAAGGGGAGGGGTACTTTATACTTTTATACCCCTCTCTTATATTCTTTGCTTATGACTCACCTCTATAAGGAAGACTACTTGGTTCCGAATCTGACAAGATACGAGTGGCCTCAAAATTAAGTCTCTTACTACTAATTTTATGTTGTGGTGTGTGCGGAAGCTACACATTTGAGATATCGTTTATATTCGTGGAGATTTTCCAAATGTTCAGGTTATTGGATAACGAGGTTGCATCAACTACAACCCTACCTTGGCTTTGTGACAACTAGGGTACCCTTTGGAAGATAAACCTTCTGATAAACGACTTCAACCATTAATCATTCATGACATGGGCAACAAGATCATTCGAGCTTGTAATAAGATTAATAAAATAAAGGCCAAAAGAAAGAATGTTATGGCAAAAGAATCTTACACTCGATGGGTTTTGGATATGGTACAAGTCATTAAGTTACCATTTGACATTGATCCTGAGTACAAGAAAGATGTTCTAGATCCTCTGCCTGTCTCCTTAGAAGAAATATACAACTTGAAGAATTTTGTAGATCAAACTCAAAAGTAGAAAGAAGAACTTGAGCTTAGCCTTCATACCTTATCTAGGGAAAAAAGACAAATGCAATGCGAGCTTGATTATAAAGATCAACAGATTTAGAAAAGATCGTGAAGCATTTGAAAAGGAGAGTCTTAAGCGGAAACGTTCGACTGTAGGGTTGTTGAGTGCTACCGTTAACTTGGATTCCCGTAACAAATGTTTGGAAGGTGCTGCTAGCGAAATCGGGAAGCTAAGTAGGTGGTACGAAAAGGCGTTATAGGATAAAAAGGAGATGGAAGAAAATTTGAGGGCTCAAATTTAAAGTTTGGCACAAGCTTTTTTAGATCAAGAAGATAAAATGAAGTATCATACCACGTGTCTCTAAGATAGCTAAGAATAGGATGTAGGGGAATGCCTCAAGAGGATGAAGGCAGAAAGATTTGTCGCCCAAAAGACTGATGAATACGAGCAAGTGTGTCTTGTGTTAGAAGACCTCCAAGAGAATTTTCTTATACAAAGGAAACTCTATACGGAGATGAGGGCTGCAAAATTAAATTGGGAGGAGCAGTACACAAAGATC